TAGGTTTATTTTGTATTTGAAAAAAATCAGTATTTTGTATAAATTATTTTGCATATATAGTGTCAGCATTGAAAATTTGCCCTAGAAAAATGATTTACAAAAAGTCATTAGATTTAATTTTATGTAGATCATATTAAGAAAGATCTTGATTAATGTATTGCATTAAAAAATCATTTAATTTGAAGAATTTACAAAATTCATCTGATTCGCCTGTTTTTTCTGTATTTTCTATACAGTCTATTTATTCAGTTTCATCTGTAATTTCTTTAACATCTGTAACTTATTTTATTTCTTTTTATTATTTTTATAGTTTATATTATTTTTATTATTTTAAGTATATTTTTATTAAAACATATATCTATATTTAGTTAATTTATAGCATAGCAAGTAGTTAGCCATAGCAAATTTATTTTATATAAATAGAATAGCTTTTTGCTTAAGTTATAAATTAACTCAGTTGTAAGTTTATAAATTCATTTATAAGTTACGAGTTTTAAATTATAAATAAAGAAATCAACTTAAATTCATACAAACTACTTTTCTCTTTAATGTTGTTCTTCACCTAGGATTATTATGATACCTTACACTAACTTGTTATTAAATTCATCATTATGAGTTCGATTAACATATTTTAAATTCTAAGACGTGATAAATTGCTAAATTGATTCAAGTATAACAGATACTTGTAAGACTTAAAAAAAATCCTAAGGTCAGAAACTCCAATGTGTAAAATTAGCTACTGCAACCTTTCAATTTAGAAGATAAATGAAAATAAACCTGGTAACAATAAAAATAAAATGAATAATAATTAAAATAATATTAACATCATAGGAATCAGAAAGAATTTATAAAATGTTTTAAAGAGTTATATTATTTAAATTATTAATTAATTTATCTTCAAAAAAGAAATTTAAATATAGTAAATGTGTGTTAGTATAATCAACTATTTTAAACTATGAGTTCTAACATATAAAAATAGAAAAAGAAATTTTATAAGAAGAAGTTATACAATATAAGTGAAATTAGTATTTGATATATTGTTAGAATGATCAGAGATAGTGTTAAAGTCATCTATTAAAATGATTTTTATATTAAAATCTCTTGCTGATTTGATGATATTACATACTTCTTTATAGGTTTATTTCTGAAGAAATGAATTTGAACTTAATATATGAAAGCTTATTAATAAAAAAAGAGGAAATCTGAAAATTTCATTAATTTTAGTTTTTAAGCTAATTTTGATCACATAATTGTAATTAGTCAATTGAACTAATAAAAAAATTTTTATCAAAATTTAGATTTCTTTTTTTTTATTGACTAGACCCCATATAATAATTAATTAATCTAATGCAAAATTTGTTGTGAAATTGAAAATGTAATATCTGTATCAACTATGGTATTTGTAAATATGATCAGCAATTTGTTTTTGATAAAAAGGTCAACTTTAAAGCCTGAATTTTACGATTATTGATCAAAATTAAAAAAATGCAAAAAAGAAGATGAATTTGATTTTGAAAAGGACAAAATATTATTATTTGATTTAAAATTAATCTCTTGAAAACCTATTATGTCTAAATAGTTAATTTCATAAGTATTAAGTAAAAATTGTTATTTTTCTGATTAAATGAAAGAGTGAATATTATGTGTTGCAATATTAAGTCAAGAAGATAGGGTATTATTGATAAAAATTATATTATAGTTAGTATTAATATTTATAATATTATTATTTAATATCAGGTTGCTAGTACTTATTCGTTTATTATTATTTATAGTATCAATTATTAAAAATATTTGGGTGTAAAGGATAAAGATATCATCAACTGATTTATTATAAAAAAAAGAAGTGGCAACTTCTTCAATAGCAGCGAAAGTATCTAGAGCAATATTGAATTGTGATTATAAGATTCTTTGCATGTTAGCGATAACATGTCTTGCATTATTAAATTTTATCATATTACTTTTAAGGTTGGTTTTAAGGAAGGCATTCTTTTCTCTTAAAGTGGTTAATTCAGCAGATTATTTAACTACAATATTGTCATTTGTATTAGAGTCAGCTACATAGGTATATTTCTCAATTTCTATACCATTTTCATTAAAGATTTGTTAAGTAAATCTGCTTGATGTGAAAGCAAGACATTGATAATAAAATCTTTTTGATTGTAACAATACATTTGATAGTTAAGCAAAAATCTTTATTTATCTTGGCAACTTACTCTAAAATAATAAACAATTAGTTAGAAATTTGTGTAAGTAATTTTGGTTGAGATAGTTGATTTGACTTATCATTTGCCTTAAAATATTTTTTGTTTATTTTATCAGCCTAGCAATGAAACGCATAAATACTGGCATTAATATTTATTCACCTTTATCATTAATAGAATGAATAGAAGTATTATGTTGATGACTATTAGTCACATTAGGTGGTTTAGTATATGATGTTATTGTTTGCTGATTATACAGTTTATTAACGTTATTATAGTTAGATTTATTTTTGATATTATTTTGCTATTATTTAGGCTTTTAATTATTAGTTATTTGAGGTTTCTTAGGAGAAGATAGAGGTTAAGAATTACAACAGGCACTTTGTAATTGCGAAATTACATAAGTTAATAATGTTGATACAAATGTTAAGTTTATTGATTTTGCAGAGTTGAATAGTTTTTGTAACAATCCTGTAATTGATAATCTAAAACTTGACAGATGAAGCAAAATTTAATATTGGGATCAGTTCAAATCAGTCTTTTTCTATTAAGAAAGTAAGTTTCACTATTTTTAGCAGCTTTTATAAAATTTTTAATTTTGAAATAAAAATGGCATATTAGAAATTTTTGTAGTTGGTATGTGATTTGAAAATTACTCAAGCATCGCTTTAATTGCATTGCTGATAAAGATTAAATAGCATCCATTAGTGTCAAAGGAGAGGTTTGTTAATTTTAGAGAGAATTCTGATTTTTTCTAACATTTTCAACTGCTATAGTAAACAGATCTACTCTAACTAAATCTTTAAGAATGAAATAACTGTTAAGTATATTCAGAGTATTCATATCTGTATCTTGTTTATATGTAAGAGTAGTTTATTGCTAAAGATTTTTTGTTAATATGACGCAAAGAAAATCTTTTCAAAAAAGGAAAAGGTTGATCTAATATTTGATTCAGTAGTTGAGATCAGGATCTCAGTAAGATAGATCAACAACTCAAGAATATATTTAACTATTGGTTTGATTGTAAGAGATAAAAACATGCTATTATTCAAACAAGAAAGTCTAAGTGTAATTGCATTATTTATCTTACTATGTGAGGTAAAACTAATTTAGACAATTTTCTTTATAGAATCTTCAAGATGAATGCAAATGGATGTACCAATAAAAGACAAGTAATGTGATGCAAAAATATCATATGCTTCATTTTGTTTATCTCTGTTGGATTTTTTAAGGTAAAATTTATTTGTAGTATAATAAGCAAAGTAGATTAAGACTCTATTTTACATTTTAAGTGAATTTCATTTTTATTGTTTTATTTATTATTAAGGTCATTTTCAGAAGCATCAAAAGCTTGATCTTTATTGAGAGATGTGTTCCTATTGTTATTAGAAGTTCTTAGATCTTTTCCTTTATTGAGAATAGGAATAAGTAAAGTTTAACTTTCATGTTTAGAAGAACTTTTAAGGACGTTTAAAGTTTCTATTTGTTTAGGTAGTTCAATATATTATTTTTTATAAGGCGTTGATTAATCAACTTATATTATTATTTATTTTATATTATTAATTATTATTATTTTATTTATTTTTGTTAGCAAATTTAATATAAATAAGATAACTTTAGAATTTGATTAATAACAGACAATTCTCAAATAACTTTAGAAAATTTATAAAGAATTCAATTTAATTTTATCAAATTTTTAAAACACAATATATATAAACAAATATAATTATATTAAAATCCAATTGCTTATTCAAAATTATATATTGACTATTAAAATTAACATTTTATTTATAAATTTCTTTAAAATTTTTTCTAAGATATTGATTAAAGCTAAATTTTTTGTTAATCTTATATAAATATTAATTTTTTAATCATTAGTATTATAAGATAACAATACATTAATTGTATATAGTAACTAAAGTTGCTATAAAAAAAGTTCTTTATTTTTATGATTATAAAAAATTATTAAATCTATTTACCTTTTTTTTCTAATCCTTACAATTGTATATATGAATTATGTTATTAAGAATTATATATAATTACTTTATTATTTAGAAAACTTATATTTTAAAATTAAAGTATTTATATATTTTTAAAAAGAAATTATTAAGTTTATAATTTATTAATATAATATAAAATTTATTATTTTTTATATTTTTATTTATAATTTATTAATAATACTGTTGTTAATAAAGAATTTAATAAATAATATAAAAATTTTTATAATTATATTTTAAAAATAATAATATATATATAAAATAATAATTATATATTTATATTTATATATTAAAACTATAATTGTATTATTTTAAATATATTGTTTTGTAACTAAATACATTCAGTTAAAATTACTATTATTAAGTATATGGAAAATGTTAATGTTAGTATTTTATTTACAATAATATTCAAAATATCAGTTTTAAATCAGAATGTTTAATATATAAAAGTATAAAATATTGTTATAAATTTAAATTTATGCAATATACCATCCTAAAGTTGCTGAATTAACAGTAACTTTTTAAAGTAATGCAACGTTTAATTTTTTTTAACTTTTACTACGAATATGATTTAACCAATTTTTGTATACATAATTTTGCATTGAAAAAGTGTTGTTATTAATTTATTTATTATGAAATATACTATATGAACTTAAATATTAATAATATTTTAATATTTATTCATGTGAAGTGCAAATAAAATGTCTATTCATAAATATAACGTATTAAATATAAATAATCAAGTTTGCCTACATATCAATTATAATTCACATTAAAATATTCAAATGTCCAACTTGAATGGTTATAATTTGGACACTTGAGATTCTCCAAAAAAGTTTTCGGAAACTTTTCGAACATAATTACCAAACCATAATTTGTCGGAGGGTTTTCTTCTTCCGTTTCCTAATATTTCTTCAGAAGTTTTAGCAATACGTAATAATGTTGCTTCATCATACCATTTAGCAATGAATTGTAATCCAATTGGCAAATTATTATCATCATATCCAGCTGGTACCGAAACAGCTGGAACCCCAGAAAAATTCGCTAATTGAATGAATCTCATTGTATCAGATGTAATCGTAGCATCTATTTCGCCAAAAGACAACGAGCGTGAATGAACTTTTGGAGCGGTAATGGCAGTCGTAGGCGTTAAAATTAAATTAACTTGATTATTGAAGAGATCCGCAAGAGTATGCATAATTCGGGTACGAATTTGTTGGGATGTAACTATAAAATAAAAAATTATATTTAATTTTTTTTTTCAATTTTATAAGTGAAATTTATATTCGAATTTTTTTTCTCTACTCACTATAATCCTAAAAAGCAAAAAGAAAAAATAAGCGTTAAATCAAAAGTATATTTCAATAAGTCTGTTTATAAATAATACTTACCGATGCTGTGACTAACTTCATTAAATTAAAATTTGTACGAGTAGGACATGAAAATAAATGCAACTTGTGATGGTATCTCTTTGCGGTATTAGTAAGTTCAGTACCAATAGTAAGCAAATGGGCTAGTCGTACTTCCTCAAGCTCAGGAATCTTAATCTCTATAATTTTTGCCCCGCGAAGTTTTAGTTCATTGATATAAGTATTTAAAGCAAGAGTAATGGCCGGGTTATCCACTTGCTTATTCCAGGCTGAATAAACGCCAATTTTTAAGTCACTTAACGTATTAGTAAAGTAAAGACCATGTAATGTGGGCAACGGTTGATGTAAAGAATGGGGGTCCTTAAAGTTTAAAAAATTTGTTAAAATAACGTACAATAAGAAATTTTGATCTTATTAATCCGCACCTTTGGATCTTTTCCAGCCATGACATAATACGATAATGCCAAATCGTCCACATTTGCAGCCATAGGACCCGATACGGCAACTGAATGTGCAAGCGGGACTATTTAATAGTATTAATATTTTTGGTATATATTTCATACGTTAATTATATTTTTATTTGATTTTATTTTATTTTTTTTTTTTAAAAAAAAAAATACCCACATTCGCCATAAGCAGAAAACCTTCCACATGTGGTTTTGAGACCATAAATACCACAGAATGATGAAGGTATCCTAAATAAAGATAAAACTCTTAATGAAATACATTTCAAAAAATTAGTCTCCCGTTTATCAATGCGAGATTTACTTAGTTACCTAATGGAACCTCCACCATCACATCCTATAGCTATTGGACATAATCCAGAGGCAACAGCAGCACCGCTACCTCCACTCGATCCTCCGGGATAATGATTTACATTGTAGGGATTTCGCGGTGTACATACAAATGGATTATTATTTGTAATACTGAGTTATTTTAGTATAAAACTTATTATTTTTTTTTAAGAACATAAGCACTGATTTAACAACCTACCCAAATCCAATTTCGTGCATTGCCGTTTTTCCGACAATAATTGCACCTTTCTCTTTTAGCCTCTCTATAATAGTCGCGTCGTCCTTCGCTGGATTTCCATGATTTATAAATTTGGTGCCAGCATTAGTTTCATAACCTTTGACATCAACCTCATCCTTAACTGCTATCGGAATACCATCAAGCAGACCCAACGAGCAATCATTAGCATATCGTTCCGTTGATGCAGTGGCTTGCGCGATGATATCATCGCGTTGGTACTTAAAGATAGCATTGAGAGGAGGATTACATTTAGTAACATCAAGAGTTTCTTCAATCTTCAATAGAAGTGCTTCGCATACCTAAGTAAAAAAAAAAAAAAAGAAATTATATACATATTTAAAATTCATCCTTCCATATAAGTGATTATATAATATGGGTTTATTGCTAGAAAAATCAGATTCCGGGATACTTACTTGTAGGGGAGTAACCCTTTTAGCAAGATAAGCTTCATGAAAATCACTTGTGCCTAAAAGTCCTGAGGAATAATTTTTCGGACGCGAGTCTTTTTGTTTCTCGAAAATTTCCAAGCCATCGATTACCTTTTTTCAATAACTTATATTTTAATATTTTTTTTAAAATATCAAAATTTCCTTTATGAATAAACGAACCGTTGTTTCCTCGATTCTAAATGCTTCTTTTGGTAAAGGAAGTGGAAAAATTGTTGGATGGTCCTCAAAACTCAGTTTTCGCAATGCCTTAAGTCCAGCGTTCCAGAAAAAAAATGATGCCATTCCTGGCACGTAATCCAGCATAAAGATCATAATTCGTAGAGGAATTCCGCTAAGATACGGAGCTTTAAGTCGACGAGTAACCTAAAAAAAAATAAATGATTAATTGCCATTGAATCTAAAAAAAAAAAATAAGTATATTTCCTTACATCATGATGTACTGTACTTTCTTCGTTATTTTTTTTGCTATTTGATAGCTCTAAAGATTCCTCCATTGAAAAAAATTATTTTCAAAAATTAAAACCTAGATTCTGGTTTATATTATCATGTCGATCAATTTTTTAGTTGTAAATACATGTGATTTTTACATTATGCATCCGACTTTGTAACTTTATTCATTATGATAAAATGGTGTGTAACCATATGAGAAAATGTATCAACAAATTTTGTATCAACACTTATTTAGAATTAAGTAACATGTCTAAAAGATCTCAACGTGAAAGTTATTCTACTGATCAAAACAATAAAGATCCACTTGAACCTTCAAGTTCTAAAAGAGTTCGATTTCAAACGTCCGATGATTCTGCAGCAGCTGAGTCAAATGTAAAAGAAGAGGGTGAATATGAATTTGATCATGAAACCTCTTTAGAAAAAGCCAAACTACGTCGTGGTGCAGTTAAACTTCAAGGATATGCAAGTGATGAAACAGATACAAGTGATGACGATGGTACAGCTCTTTTTAACCGTCGAAAAGGTAAAGACAAAGCTGATGATTTGGATGATATGTTTGCGGATGATGATGATATTTCATCTAAACAAAGAGGAGAGGATGTAATTGGGAAGAAAAAGGTTAGGTATTTGGAATTGGATGAAATTGAAGGTCAAGAATATACATCTAGGGATGCATACGATGAAGAATCTGGAGAACCTATAATTGAAGCTTTTAATATGAAAGCTGAAATGGAAGAAGGTAGATTTGATGAAGCGGGAAATTATGTTCGTAATAAAAAAGACCCCAGCGCGTTTCATGATAATTGGCTTCAAGGTCTTTCACAGAAAGACATTGAAAAAGCTAAACGAGCACATGAAAAGCAAGAGCAAGACAGAAAACTTAAAGAAGCTGAAGAAGCTTCAAGAGGTCCACTAGATCGGGTTTCAATATGGAAGGAACTTTTAGCAATCATGAAACGGGGTGAGACATTATTAGATACTTTACAAAGATTAGGCGGAGGACTAAATAATAAAGGAAAGAATAAACGAGGACAAAAGCATTACAAGAAAAAAAGAAGGGCAAAACAGATGAAACAATGGAAATGGCAATTGATAAAGAAGAACTCACACCTGAAGAAGTCGCTGAACAAGAGCGCAAGAAACAAATAGAAATTCTTACTGATCTATCTGATAAAATGATGGCATTAGGACATTTTAATGTTTATGATGATACATGGGAACAAATCCTAAGAAATTTGAAAAGAGAAAAAGCAGTTCCAGAAGATTGGATACCAGGAAATTTTGAGGAGGAGAAAGAAGCTGAAAATGATTCATTAAATACACCTTTTGATGATTTTTCAAGTAGTATAGCGACAACACAACAATTATATTGGGAATATAAATGGACAGACACGTCAGATGCTAATTCTAATGATATATATGGACCATTTTCGGGAGAAGATATGAAAGCTTGGAATGATCAAGGATTTTTTGCACAAGGAGTTTTAGTGCGAAAGGCAGGTACTGAAGATGAATTTACTAGTTCCACCGGTATTGATTTTACTAGTTTTACTTGAAAAAATATTCTTATTTTAAATTTTATGGGATTTATAACCGTTTTAAATAAATTCTTTGAATTTATAAAAACAAAATAAATGGACAATAAGTTTTTTATAAATTTTTATCAGCCTAGCTTTAATTATAATAAAAACAATCACAAACTTAAGGATTTATTTATTTTACTGATGTAAAAAGTGTATTTCGAAACTCAACAAAAGGTTGTTTGAAGAAAATTAATTTAAGATCATATTAAACGTTAGGAAAATGATTATAAGTAATAAGAGACTAGACCTCCTAATCCAAATCCAACCAATCCAGCTACAAACACTCCATAATCAAACCCAATTCCTTCATTGGAATCTTCTCCAACAGAGTTTTGAATTTGTCCTGGATTATCACGTGATGAATCATCATCATCTTTTTCTTTTCGTCTTTGCCTTTTAATTTGCTTTCTTAATTGCTTATATTCTTGTTTTAATTTATAATTTTTGGCTTCTAATCTATTTATACGCGTTTCACTTAAATGTTCTTTCCAAGTTGTTCTCTGCAGAGTTTGTTCAATCATTCTTATTCTATTATCCAAACGATATGGATGAAATAATTGATCGTGAGATAATTTTAACTTACGATTAACGTTACTACTATTATTATTATCCATTCCATTTCTTTCGGTGAAAGGAACATGTGATTCTTCGTCTAATAAAAAAAAGCAATTTGAGATAATTGGTGATAACACGCATAACGATTCTTGACTTGATGTTTACCATTCATTTCTTCATCTTCGTCGTCCTCATTCTTTTTACACTTCATTCCTTCAATAACAGAAACTATATAGTCACGTTCACTTTCACCATTTTCATCACTATCTCGATTATCAACTTTCATCTTCGACCCTTCATCACTTCCCTCAAGGTTATCATTAATCATCCAAAAATTTTCTTTAGCATAGTTCACCGAACTCGGTTTATCTTTTAACCTTTTACTCCTTATGATGGTTGTACCTCCTTCTTTTCCATCTTCTTGATATTCTTCATCACCATTAATAGATTCTTCTTCATAAGTAGAATCGTCTTTTACCCCTTTTCCTTTATGTTTGGATCCGTCACTTTGTATATTTATTTTATCATGAATTCTATTAAATTTTCTCAATGCGATTTGTCCATTATTTTGTATTGTTTTTAATAAATTATCATCTGACCTGTAATTACCTTCATCGCTTGTATTATCATTCATTTTTCTTTTTATTCCTTGGCTGCTATAATTCTTTAACCTATGATAAATTTTATGTGATAAAGGGTTTTCCTCTTCAGACTCCCTAATTTCTTTACCTTCTTCTTTCTCCTCTTGAAATTCACTTGCTTCTTTCCTTTCGCTTTTCAATATCTTTTCTGATCTTGTGATTTCTTTATTTTCTTCTTGAGAACTACTACTATCTTCAATAAATATTCGAAAATTTTTTGTTCTACGCATTTTTCGTTCAATGAATATGATAATACGTCATGTGATGTTATTGTTAGTGAAATAAATCAAATATTTATGTTTTTTTTTCACACGTTACTTATTTTTAAATCAAAAAATAATTGATTTATCTTTTTGTTGAACGAACCAATAAGCATTGTTCCTTGGGAAACGATAAAATATAAATAATTACAATAAATATTTAGAATCAAAAATGACGTTATTTAAAATTTCAAGAATTTCCTTTCCCATTTCACAATATTATATGTAGTATTATAAAAAAGGTTCGATAAAAATGATCTTGTAAATTTGTAAATCATCATACGATTCGTATTTTCTTTTATATAATCAAATTTATTTTGTTATAGGTAAGGATTTTCAATTCTCATTTCTGTACTTTAATATATTAGTTTAAAAATATTTTTGATGGAAAATAATTATGATATTTTTGATATATAAGATTATTATAAATCTGGAATAATACATTCATTATAATTAGTAACTTTTTATTCTAAACTGTAAAATAGACTTAAAATAATTATATAATAAATGATATGTAAAATACCATTATTTATAAATAAAAGATTTTAGATTTTAGATATATACGATTATTATATAACAATACTGATCCGTATTCTTAAATTATCTAGCAGTCACATTTGTTTGCAAATTTTAAAAAAATATTAAATTCTTAATAAAATTTAAATATTAATTTTAATAATATAATAATTATATAAAAAATGTAGTTTAATATATTTTATCAATTTTATTAAAAAAAATTTTAAGTTTATTAAGAAGTTTTATAAATAATTCAATTTTAAACTTAAGGTTTTAAAAATTTTATTATAATAATTTTTTAAAAATTTCTTAAAAATTCATATATTTACAAACTGATTGAATTTTTTTATTATTAATAAATTATAAAATTTCTTAAAATCATAAATATTATAATAATTAAAGTTATTCTTCATAATAAATTTTATAATATTCTATTATAATTAATATTATTAAAAGTAAATCTTAATAAATTTGTTAAAGGTTAATGATAACAAAATATCTTATTTTATAAAAAAAGTATCAAATAAAAGTATTTAAAAGTTATTATTTTGTTTTATTAAAATTAATTTTTTTAAATATTTTAATTAAAATTACATAATCAGTAATTTATATAATAATCAAAAGTTACAATTACAGTTTTTTATATAGAATTTTATTCTTTTTTAAATATGTAATAATTTAAAAAATATTAAAAAACTTTTATTAAAAATAAAGTTTACTTTAGATTTCATAAAAATATGCAAAATAATATTATAGCAAAGTTTTTTTATATTACGATTTAATAATTATCATTTTTTATTTACTAATTAATTGACTACATTATTTTTTCTTAATAATAATAATACTTTCAATAATATTATTTATGTTATCTTCTTTTTAAAAAAAAAAAAATACTAAAGACTTTTAAAAATTATTACTAATAATATAAGTATTTTAAAATGACATCTATTACTTTACTCTTCAATATTTTTATATCTAAGATGTAATATTGATTATGAAGATTTCTATTATATTAGTTGTATCTTATAGTTTATTATTAAATAATAACAATTACAGTATTTAATAAGCAAAAGATCATTTTAAACTCATTACTAATATATACAATTTTGAAATTAATAAGTTAAATTATTAGCTTCTTTCAAAATATAACTTTATATTATTTTTTTATAATATTAAAAGGAATTATTTCTTGAATATCTTTTAATTTTATATAAGGCAAACTGTTCAGCTCAATTCTGATATATGTTTTCTGTATTTTTTCATGTAATTTGTATTTAAAACCATTTAAAAAATCTGAACAAATCAATATCACCTTTAAATAATTATCAAAAAGCTGATGATATTAATATAATATTAAAAAATAAAAATTTTATATCTATTAAATATATTTTTTCTTCTAATTATAATACAAATTTTCTTTATATAAATCTAATTAGTATTAAAAATCAAATAAAATTTTATTAATTACATATTTAATATAATAAATACTAAACACTTTTTTATTTCTTTTCTTATTTTATTTTTTAAAAAGAAATATTTTAACTTAGATTAAGTTTGATTTTAGAAAATTGCAAGGTCAATCTTCTATAGATAAGTCTTAGATTAATCATTGAGATTTTCATAATTTTTCTATATATACTGTATTTTATTTTATATAGAATTATTTTTATTTAAATAAAAATTTTGTAGAACTACCATATTTTAAAAAAAATATTTTATTTATTTATTATAGATTCTAATTAGAATTCAAATTTAATCATAATTTTACTAAATTTTAGATACATTAAATACTAATTAAAATAGTTTAAATCAGCTAAAAATTAAATAGCTAAATCTAAGTCAATTTTGATATAATTTATGGCTGATTTGCTATATTTCCTAATTATTTAAATTACTATTAATCAGATAAACAATTTAATATTAATTATTTCTAAGCTTTTTTCATATATAATTCATATTAAAAGGAGAAAAAGATAATGAATAAAATTTATTCATACTGTATTATTAAAACTGTATGTCTATGATTTCTATAAATAAGTTTTATTTTTGTTGAATTATAATAATAAAATTGAATTTTCTCCTTTTTATATTATTTTATTTTGCATATGCATCTTATTTTATAACTGGATGGTAAAATATGCTATAACAATTTTGTGATTAAACTTGTATAAAAGGGTTTTATACATCATAATACTAGTTACAAAATCAGTAAAAATAAAAATACTATCAAGTTTCTTTAGTATTGAGATTTTTGTAAAACTTTATAATTGAAAAAAGATAAGTATAATATTATCATTACTGATTAATTATGGATCTATAAAGTTTCTATAGAATAGATCTTTTACAGATTAAAATATTAATATAATTTTTTATTAAGCTTCAATATTTCATATATTTATCTATATTTACATTAAAATATCCTATTAGGATTATATGATATTACTGTTTATTATATTCATCTAACATATTTAAAATTTATTTTTTTATTTGTGTCTACTTTTAGAATTTTTTAAATTATTGTAGATATAGCAGCTGATTATTCTAAGATTTATATATTACTACTGCTTGATTTATTTAATATAAAATATAACATATTGATTTCAAAAATATCAATTAATAAGATACAAGTTAATAAGTTTATTTGAAATTAAGATAAACTATATTATTCTTTTCAATTTATTAAATCTGTTTCTAAATTATTGATTTTCTTAAGATACACAAATAATAATTATTTAATATAAAGGTATTTTTATTAAAGAAATGAATTAATATAAAGATTCTTAATTGTATTACTATAAAACTGTTAACTATTAATTTTCTGTTGATTAATGTCATTCTTATTTTTACTTTAGATTTTCTTCTTTATTTATATAAAAATATCACATAATAATAAGCTAATTATTTTATTTTTTCTGTTAATTTTTAGTTATATTTCTATATTTCTATTTTTTATTTTTGTTTCTTATCTTTATTTTCTAGTTTCTTTTATATTCTATCTTCTTATATCCTAAATATAGTTAATTATAAGTATTTAGCTAATTATATCATTTATCTATTCTAACTATATTCATCTAACAAACATTTCTCTTCTATTATACTATATTATATAATTTTACTTTGTCTTAAATAATGTATTATTTTATATAATTATTATTTTATTATATAATAAATTACTTTTCTATTAATTAATATTTAATAAATTATTATTTAATAATCAATTCTGTAATAATATCTTTTTAAATATAAGTCTATATAAAATAATTTTAGTTCTAAAGTGAAAGAATATACAATGTATTTATTTCATTTTTTAAGATAAGAAGAGTAATACTAGTATAAAGTTATAGGGGCTCAAGTTAATTTAAAATATTATAAAATATTAATCATATTTGTATTTATAAAGTATTAATAATCTATGATGTATTTTATTAAGACTAACAAAGTCTATATTTCTATTTATGAAATATTCTAATATTTGAGAAGATTTTATTAGATTTGTAATTTTATTAACTCTATAAATATTATGAATAACAAATATAATGGTAATTTTTTTAATTATATTTTTATTTATATTATCATTTAAGTGAGAGATATCTGCATTTTTTTTATTAATAATATATTATTCATCTTTGTAAAAGTGTGAAATTTGATTATTTAGAAAGGAAAAAACATTTATATTAAGTAATAAAATATTCTAGTTGTTAGTAGGAATACTTTTTATTTGTGATTTACCTAATATAAAATATATCATAATTAACAAGCTATAGGCCTATTATTATTAATAAAAGTAAAAAACTGTGAGTCTAATTTAGCTAAGTATAATTTAATTAAATCTAGTTCTTATAGTTTAGTTAGAATTAAATCAAAAGGATTGGAATTAATATTAGTAATTGTAATACTTATTGGTATAAAAGTTACTAAAAAACATCTTTTTCTTTATTAATAGAGGAGAAGATGAAGAAAGAGATAAATGCATAATTATATTATTTAGTATAAAGATGATTCCTATAATTATTTTCAAATTATAATTGAATTACAACTTAATTGTATCATAAGGAAATTTAATTGTACTATAAGTTGTAATTTAACTGTACTAATCTTCTAATTGTGATGATCATCTTTAGTTTAATGTATTATTTTATTAAGTCTATATTTATACAATTAATTAAAAACTTTTGTTTTTTTAGTAATTATTAGATAAATAATTAGTTGTGTTATTATTAGATAACTGAATATTTATTTTTTTTTATATATAATGCTATTTAAGACTTTTAGTCTTCTATCTAATTTGTATTTAATATATATAATTTTTTGTAAATAGGTAATTTATATGTCTTTTTTAGAGAAGATAACTACATAAGTAATATTATTATAAAAATAATAAGATCTTATATTAAACAATATTAGCTTACAAAAGTCATCTGCAAATATCATTTTATTTTTGAATTCTTTAAACT